AAAAATAGAAATTTGATCGCAACAAATGTGCGTTTGCAATGCGTTCATTAGGAGTTTGAAGCCAATTCAAAATTCAATCAGTAATGAGTTTTTTCATATTGGAACGTATAATAATATGGATAGAGGAAAATTTGTCGAGCTTTCGTTCATTGACGCGATCCAATGAATATAAAGTTTCGATATTTGACCAAGATTTCAAGGTGAAGGTTGTAGTATCCAAAACTTATTTGCTTGCATCTTGTACCAAAGAGCAGCTCGGAGAAGTGAAACTGGGTGTTAGAGCCAAGGAACTTTGTTCTTCTTGTTCTTATTGTTGCGAGGAACTTTGGAATTTCTAGCAGTAGTGCAACATGCCAGCGCACGCGGCACACAGTTCGCGTTATATACCATCGCAATGCGAGGCTCGGCCACTTATATTCGGCCTGTGCCATTGAACCAACTAGTCACTTCTTTACTTCTTTTCGAGTCCGTGAAGGGGTCACTGTACAGCACTATAGGCGACTTCATATTTATGTATAGAGTTACAGTTACAGCGAGCGCGTCCAAGGTTAAATTCAATTTTTTTTTTAACTTCGGAGCATGCACGTCGCATTACACAAATTATTTCTCTTTTGTTTCTTTTTTTTTTTTATTGAAACTTTTCCCACACCACGGCATAGACTAGTTTTTTGCTCTCGTTTTATCTGCACCTAAAATAATATGTAATCATTTGGCGATTTAGTTTGAATTACATGTACAGGAATAAAGTTCAAGCTTATAGTTTGACGTTAAAGAAGTTAGTGACGTAAAACATCAGCAAGATATGAGATTTAATCAGCTCGTGTGCGAAGATCTATGTTATTGTCGGCAGTTCAACTTTGACCCCTGAAACGCAGCAGTATAGCATCAAGTCAACGACCCTTAAAGCCACGAACTTTTCGAAATTATACATTCATATAAAGCTAAGATAGATAGAGAGAGGGAGAGAGAAAGAGAGAGAGAGAGAGAGAGAGAGAGAGAGAGAGATCAATTGAAATCCTTGCAGCAGTTACCTACATGTCTACAATTTATGAATCTGCTTGCTTAAATTTTGTTTACGTGCAAGGCCTCAAAACACATAGTGTATTTCTTATCATAAAAATTCTTAGTTTGTCGGGCTGTTGAATAACGTAACGCCAACACACATGTGAGGTACACCAAGGAAGTATAAGTCTGAGAGTTCATAGACAGAGAGAAATTGCAAGTGAGTAGTACAACTTGCGAGTATATAGGTAAGTAGGAAGAATCGTTAGGCTAAGTTTAAACCTGAGACTCGCCGTTAACGAGGCTTGCCATAGGGGGACCGCTCTAAAGTGCCTAGTGCCCGGTTAGCTATGAATTCGTCAATGTATCTATCTGCTTCGCGCGCGCACATTTTCCAGCGACGGCAGACGAATTGCCGTCGGATCGAAGAGCTTCGCTCTAAGTAAGTAGAAATTTTACTGTGCCTTTCCAAAACTAGTTAAAAGGCCATTCTTTTGAATAATGTTCCCTCATTATACTACACATGCGAAAAAATAACATTTTTTAATGTAGCTATTAAACCTATGAAATAAGCATAAGTATAAAGATATTTCCCTAAACTTTATGAAGTTGGGTTTTGTACAACAATACAACTGAGAGCTAATTTTTGTGACTTTCATGTAAATTGGTTCTATAAGAGCTGTGGAAATTATGCCAAATTTCAAAAATCACCAGCTATTTCGGACTTAGTCATTGTAGTAGAGAGTTTGAAGTTCTATTAGTAGATGGTGGCTGAGTGCTTTCTTAATGGTTCTAGAGGAATTATTAAAAGCTCATGAGTGTAGATATTGCGCAGAAAGCTAATCGGTACAATTGTAGTTATACTTTTAGACATTTCTTGTAACTTGAAAATATAACTTCCAAACTTGCCAAAATATATTTCTTCTAAAAAAAAATTAAAATTGCACACGTTTTTTTTGCGAATTATATATTGAAAAAGCTAAACGAAGAAAAGGATGATATCGATTTGTAGGAGTTTTCTGTTGTAATTAAGTAATTTCAGATGATCGTCATTGCGCTTACCGCTCTGCACGCATGTAGGGCACGTAATTCTGGCAAAATTTGTATTATTAGCTTAATAAATGTACAGTACGTTCGACGGGTCGTGCAGTTAATTACCCGAACGTTTGACGTTGACGCGCGCACGCGTTATTTTTTTGCTGCCCCGTGCACAGGAGTTTTTGCTGTAGTAGTAATGCTTGCATCCTACCCGATTCAGCCGGTCGTCGGCAAAAAAATTCTGGTGCTAGCATTGATTTCAAAAAAGTTTTCGCTCACATTGCTCATGATTTTGACGCAACGTTTTCTGTTTGAAAAAAAGCACTATCCAGAAGAAAAATCCTTCCTCGCATGTGAGCGAAAAGTCGAACAATAAAGCAGTTGCAACGAAACAAACACTTTTCGTGTCTCAAATTTTATCAAAATGAAGGATCGATCGTCGAGCAACCCTTTTAGTTGCGCTTCGAGGCAACAGCACACGTGAATGCAGGGAAAATCGCGCCAAGTCACGCTCGCGAGCAGATAGTCTAAAACAACATTAACGAACTACACACTGAGCAATGCATGCACACCGACACAATAACAACATCGATATTATGAACAGTGCTCGTGAAATTCGCGAAGGTCGCTGTTAAGAAAGCTTATCGTGCCCGCGCTTTTCGGTCTCTATATCCTCTATGTGCGCGCACGCGTGGTTGTCTCTATATTATATATACGTATATGATAGCGTGATCCAATTTGTCGAAGAATGTGGATTCGACGTGGAAGGGCAATTAATGCGAGGCACAGAGGCATACACATGATTATCGGGTGCGCTTCATTAGGCAGCATGGAACCGGGATATTGCGCCCGGTGCTCGTGCTTTTATACAGGCAATGGGCAAGGGTTGAATTTTTACTTACCAGCCGTATCATGGCTTCCAATGTCTATTAAGAGTGCATAAAAAAGGCTTAAGTCGTTATGAGCTAACTTGCTTTGGTTATGTAGGCAAGAGAAGTATAAGGGGTAAGGCTGACGGCAGCAAGAGCTATTAAAACCTTCGTTGCCAGAGTGAAAAACGTTTTGCTCGTTTTTTTCGAGGGCTGACGTAGTGATGCGTATATACGATCTCTCTCTCTCTCTCTCTCTCTCTCTCTCTCTCTCTCTCTTTATGCGATGCACCTGTGGTAATGAACTTTCTCAAAGTTTTGGCAGGATAAGTCAATGCAAAGCGTTAGGTGCGTCGATGACTGGTTTGATACGAGAACGAAGGTGAGTTGGGCACTGTCTGCATCGAGCTGTGATCCGCGTATCATGGAAAGTGCAGCCTTGAGCAGGTGCGTTTTGTACTTTTCTGATAAATGCATAGCGATATGATTTCTCATTAACGTTGGGTCTAGCGATTTTTAAACGAGATTTCGCGCCAATTTCCAAGGTTTATGACCTCCTAAAGTAAGCCTGCAGTTATCCTTGTTTTTGCAAGAATGTTTCAACTTTTTTCACTCAACTATATCATGAATTATGATAATTTTTATTTCTAACTCTATTTGAAAACAGTACCCCTTTGAAGAGACCGTGAAATATCGATCAATGTACGCTCGACTTTTTTTCCGACTATCAGTCAGATCTCAGGAAAAATTGCATAATAACGAAAAAAAAGAAAAAGAGACACAGAGACTATGTCAGACAGGTCTAGGCTGCTCCAGTTGGTGCAGGCACCCTCATTGACGTTTGCACATACGAATATACATATATTATTCATTCAAGCGTAATTGCAAATGAAAAATCGACAGAGCTACAGTTCTGATAGTGAGCAGGCAGCCTGTCTTTCTCTAGCTCCTTTTCACATCCTACTTTTCCTTCTATCTCTCTCTCTCTCTCTTTGTGCACAGAGCACACAAACGAAGCTAGCAGAGTCCCGGACGTACCGCCTAGAAAACGAGTTCTACGAGCGCAGAAAGTGGTAAAGAGTGAGAGAAAAGCTCAGCCTCCTGCGTTGGAACCTCTGTGGACCTCCTGCGTTCTATATGCGGATTCGTTCCTCCCTCGCAGTCTGGGAGCTGGCTAGAGAAAAGAGGGCCGTTGCCTGGAGTAGTGAAAGAAAAATACTCAAGGCGTGCTGCTGCTGATGCTGCTGCTACTACTTCCGTTGCCGCTGGTGGGAGAGCTTGCACGTAAAAAACGAAGAAAAAGCACGAGCAAAGCGAGGCCAGCTAGTGCAAACGCCAGAGAGCTTGCAGCGCAAGCTCCGCTCTCTACGCGCCAAGGGAAGGGGCAGCCGAGGCAAGTGTGCGCGAGCCTGCATACAGCGGTAACTTACGTATGCGGGAGTATGTGGGAAAAGCTCGCAGCGGCTGCAGGTAGTGGCGGTGGTACGGCGCGGATCCAATGGGCGCCGAGCGCGGAGGCGGCGGTTGCAGACCGTTTACGCCCCTTTTCGGAGGAGGAATAAGCACTCCCTGAGACCGAGCAAGAGGCTCCTCTCCTGTGCGCGGTACTCAGCAGCTCGCTCTTCCTTTTGGCATTTTCTCCTCTCTCTCTCTCTCTCTCACTCTTTGTTGCTGTCTCTCTTGCAACTCTTCTCTTCTCTCTCTTACTTGTGATTCTGCTGGCAGCTGCCCAACTGCAAGGCGGAAGGCAGAATAGCATATCTGTACAGCAGCGTGTTAAGCGAGCTCTGCCGATCCTACTGACGGTTTCTACTCCTTCCTTTTGATACGGTATTACCTGCTCGTTCACCCGAATATTATTTATCCGTGCCTGACGATCATGTTTTGATAAAGTAGCTGAAAAAAATCGTTTTGGCACCTTATCGCAAGGTCACAAACCTTCGATTTTTTCCATATCTTCGAGTAGTGCCAAAAAGTTCGCGCTAAAGATAAATCTTATGATTATGATAAAGGTCAAATTGCTTTGAATTTAAATTTCATATTGTGTTCAATTTTCATGTTTAATAAATCAATTAAACCAGACATAATTAGGCTACGAATAAAAACCAAATATTAATAAAAATGTGAAGATCGTGATGTGGTGGCGCTGCTGCACCGAGAAGCTGAAATAGCGCAAGATCGTGTACGTCAACGGCCATATTGAAAAATATCAAAGCTATTGAGTGCATTTTGGAGACTTTTAAGTAAAAAATTGTGAAAAACTACACAACACGTTTACTGTCTTAATCGGCGTGCTTCTGGATTATTTAAGCACTAAATTTGTAAGTACAATCAAGCTCTTTTTTAAATTTTTTTTTCACACACATTCGTTCAGTATTTTTAGAAAGTATTTATTTAATTTAGCAACTTTTTTCACTTTGAGATCATTAATATCTTGCTGTGAGATAAATTACTATTTCTTACACGAAGATTACCTAATTAATTTTTATAATATTTTAAATTGTAGACTGATTGATAATTTAAAAATTTTTTAATTGGTCGATTGAGGCTGAGAAACTGAAAGTTGTTTATATTTTGCAATATCTGCACGACTATCATTTAAAAAATTAATATATTACTCCATAACACCGAGCAAGTAATTTGTAAATTTCTCAGCCGACGGGCAAAGTAGATGAACTTGGAAATTTTCTTCCTAGGCAGGATTTCTTGCAAAGTACATGATGTAAATCTAGACATTCGTAGTTGTACAGGCGTACAAGTAACAAATCTGTTTGCCCTTGAAAATAGAATGATCAGTGTGAGTGAGGATCCGTACGCTTGGCTGAACACCTGCGCGCTCAACTTGCTCGTATCAGAGGCTCTTACAAGACGGGCGGCGTGTATGTATGAGCTCGATGTAAGCATACATGGTGTATATGTATAAGATCGCGACAGTGATTCGATCATTTCTGACCCATTGCGCCCGATTTGCTGTGATGAAATATCGCCCGACGGTAGCAGTACGGCTCGTAGCTATCCGAATACACGCCCATGCGGTATTGCTTTCGTGTCATGCAGGCGTTCGCTTCACGGAACTCGATACTTTCACTTATATTCGATTATTAGCCATTTACTCATAAATATTTCTAGAGTTTTACTTATTTAGAAAATGTATCTTATTTGCAAACAAAATTCAAAAAAGAAATAGTTTATTTGTTGAAATCAGTTATTTTTAAATTTGAATTACTGACTAGCATTTTTAGTTTCCCCTTTTAACATCTGCATTTAGTAAGAAATACCACGTCAATATCGTGTATAGAGAAGAAAAATGTTATCGTACGTGCGAGCACCCAAGATGAGATTATCTTGGGCTAATAAGGTGAGCAGTAGAAATGACTGCAATTATTGGTTCGTTCGTGCTCATTGTATGAATCAGATAGACGTGAGAAATGGACCTGAAAAGGGTCTTAGGGGGCTCAAATTATTTTGTCTTATCTCACTGCCATATTATAGTATATAATAAAAACTTTTCTGTAATATCTAACATAAAAGATCGTTCACAATTATAAATAAAGCTCGAATTATTTTTATTATATGAACTTTATTGCTCTACAGATCTGATTTAAATACTCCGCTCAGGTTTTGATTTTTTTCGAGATATCACAAATCCAATATTTCGCTGCGGTACCTTTGTAAAGTAAACTTAAAAGAAATTGGAAACTATGCATTTGTTAATGCATTAACTTAGGCGTCAAATTAAAAACTTAAATTGCATATCATTTTTTCAATCTATTAAATATAAGAAAAGAGTGTATATTCAGTGACCGTAGTGTACGCGCAAACGTATATTGCACCGCCCGAAATAACTCACAATATCATTGTCTTGCAGCACGTGAAAATGATTTTATGGTAAGCTCCGGCTGCCGTATAGACACTTTCATATAAGAATTGTTGCGCAAATTATAACTAGTTCACTGATGTGTCATTTAGCTTATTCTCGTATAAAAATATACAATCTTACGTATAATCATTGGAATTGCCGCAAGCAAATGTTACCCCTTATTGCAATAACCGAGAAAATCATTGAAACTTTCAAAAATATATAATAAATAGAAAGTGTTTCAATAAAAGTTAGCAATCTGTTGACTCATATGTTAAAGTTAGAGATTCTGGAAAATATGTGCGACATTCCATAAAGTATCCAAGAGGGTGATAGTGGCAACTTTTGTTCTCATATAACGACTTCATGTTTGACCTAACTTTCAAAGCGAATCTACAGTTTTCAGTTGTCAAACTAAATACTGGTTTCAATTCTATGAACTTGAAAAGCTTGTTGTTCGGCAACTTCTAAGGGGCGTTCACCTAAAAGCACCAAAAACTCGTTCAAACAAGGGAAGACCAACTTTTTAGTTCCTTAGTTCTCTCTCTGTCTCTCTTTCTCTCTCACTTGCGTTCACTCACTTGCTCGGCAAACCAAGGGCCGATAAATCAGACAGAGTTTACATATGCTGGTATACAGTGGCAAGTTAGTTTGTCTTTACTTTATGACAATAATCATTTGGATTTCAATTTTGACCTAATTATTCTATTCTTATTGTGCAATTGAACGCAGGTGCGAACGAAAAATGTTTTCAATCACTTTGATAACTAATGCATTGAGCTCAACTTTCAACTTTCTCCCTTATTCCAGTTTAAATAACTTATAATTATGGATGAATACACATTATCGAGCAAATTGCTTCAATTGAAACATCATTCTTGCAAAGTTTTTCTTTGAGTGATTTGAAAAAGTTTTATGAATTTTTTGTGATAAACAAATAATAGTAATAGTGGTGCAGGAAGTAAAAATAATCTTAAGAAAACTTTTTATTTAAATTTCCTTTAGAATAAGATAATTATTGATAAATTCAATATCAAAAGATGTCAGATCTATATTTTTAGGTATGAAATTGTTGAAATTCGATGTTTTACCATTAGTAAAATTGAGACTTCACCTTTTAAAAATAAACAGAAATTTAGTGTTTTTGTCAAGTTATAAAAAAAAGTGCTGCGTACCTGTTAGAGAAAAGAAAAACAGCTTGGGTGAAGGCAGAAAACGAAGTTAATGGAAGAGAAAGCAAAAGGCACAAGAAACAAAGCTCACATTGGAAAGAGAGCGAAGAAGGCGAGCGAGAAAGGCTGTTGCCGAGAAACTTTTCTCGTGCAAAGTACCACACGGACTGGCTCGAGGTTATGAAATTCTGATGGCTCATAAAATGTAAGAAAATTTACAGACTTTGCTGGTAGTAGTGGTGCTGGTACCGAGCCTCCGTCGCTGCCGCTGCCGTATTGGTCGTCGTCGTTCTCTCAGCATTTGCGCCGTTTTCTTCAGTCTCTTCGCTTCCGTCGCCCTTTCGAGCGCGCGGCTGCGCTCACTCCTACCGATGTAAAGTTTTGAAACTTTCGCGAGTGGCACGCCGCGCCGCCGATCGATTAGGACGGCTACCCGAGACTTGCGCCGGTACACACATACTCAGTGCAGCAGTCGGCTCGAATGTTGAATTCGTCCTGCTAGCAAAACATTTTTTCGCTCTTTCGGTTTCTTGGATGAAAAATATTTTGCATAAATAGCACACATAAAATTATGAAGCACACAGAAATTATGAAATTATGACGATGGTAAAGATCATTAATTTACAAATCTTAACTTGAATAACGTGCAAATTTAGAAGCTGCAGAATTTTTTAAAATGCAATTTAATTGAAAAATATAAAAAACGTTCAAGTTGTACGAACGAGACGTGTCAACAGAATTTAATCAGTTACTAACTTCTCGAGTAATTTTCTCTTGACTCGAGAAAAGCGTTTACATAATCGCAGTGTGTATTAGTGAATACAACTTTGATTACTAGAAATTAGATGTTCTAAACAGGGTGGATTCTTCTTCTAGCATCTAAATTTATCAATTCACATTCACCCTGTTTTCTTTCACTACGGACAATATCGAAAGTATAATTTTTGCCATTAGTTCCTCTTTTGACCCTAATTCAATTGACTGAAACACATGCGCGTTCATCGAACTAAACTGCCTTGAAAACTTGCCTCGTATTGCAGTAAACTCATGGCATTTGGATATTCATTCTGAAAAAAAGTATTTGAAATTATACCGCCATTAATAATACGGAGGACAGTGAACTTCTATTGACTGTGGAATATTCGATGCTGTCACCAGCTGCAGGTTATTAATAATTACATACAGGATATAAAGTCGTCTTCGCCGTACTCCGCTTGTGTTGAGTCCGTCGTCAAGATGATGTAGCTATCAGGTTCTTAAATGTATATACGCTCGAGCTCAAAAGCCGAGCTACCTTAAAATACGTCTAAATATTAATGAGGCTTTCGTTGGTTTGGCTCTCGTTGCGCCAACTACGCTTCACATCAGATAGCCACGTGCGGAGATGCGTCAAACGGCTGCTCTATGTAGCTTGGGCTAATCGTTTCTGCGACCTATCCTCTTACACGTACACGCACAAATAACTTAACTCGACGTGCGAAGCTGCAATGACTCATTTGCATTATCATGAGCCACCAGTCGCCACCCAGATAAATGTCTTAAATTACGAGCTGATCTTTCTCGCACTCGCCTAAATAAATATTTGCCTCGATTTTGGCGCTTGCCTCGCCGCCCGACTTCTTTTTTGATTTATCACCCGAGCTTCTGTAAACTGAGCGAAAATGTAAGAGCCACGAAAGAGTATATAGTGATACACGTGTATGGCTCGAGAGCCGAAAATTTGGGTCCCGCACTTTTAACAATGAATAATTTTAGCGCTCACCCGAAACACACCGTAAGCACCCACACGTATACTAGCACGAAGACGAGCTAGACATTATCGTCGTCCCGACGCATAATAAATCCTGCCTTGCACGGTCAGCGGCGCGAAGAATATGTGCGCGTTGGGCCATATAACGTTGAGCTGTACTACTGCGATGCTATATTTAAATAGCAACATGTACAAACGACGTGCCCAAACTTTTTTAATGTTTTTTCGCGGCCTACGAAGAAATGTGCTTTATAAATTTACCCCTGATATATAAATTCAGAATCTACTGCAAAACTGACTGCAACTAGAACACATTACATGCCAGTTTCTCATTTTTTTCACAGTGAAATTATGTTTTTTATTATGTTTTTTATTTTCTTACTTTACAATAATGATTAAAAATCGGTAATATCCATTTCAAGCAAAATGTTGCTTTAGTGATATTAAAGTGGTTAGTTAATCGATTGATGAGTATATTATAAATATTGCTTCTTTAGAACACAGGGATTTCATGGTTGGAAATGACTTGAGTGATCCGAT